GGTGGAGAAGGCAGCCGGCCCAGGGGCCCCAATCTCCACGTCGCCAGTGCACTAAGTGAAACCCAAGTGTGTATTTCATAGAAGCTGCGTCGGAGGGAGGGCTGGTCTCCTGGCATTTGTGGAGCCTGTTGCTTTCCAGGAGGATGGTCTGGGAGAAGAGCCAGGAGGTGCTGGCGGGCATCCAGATCTGGGCTGGATTACACGGCTGGGCTTGCCCAGAGCAGTGAGTCCCCGCCACCACCAGCCCCTGCCTGGAGGGCTGGGCCAGAGAGGTCAAGGAGGCCAGGGTTGTTCCCAGAGGGGCAGCAGGAGCAGCCTGGCCCCACCGGCTGCGTGAGGGGCCCCACCTTGTGTCTTCTAGCCAGAGGCTCCTCACTGCCTCTGGGTGGTGGAGGAGCTGGGCCACCCCTGGGCCCTCCCTGAGTCAGAAGGACACAGCCCAGGTGCGGCCCTGCTGTGACAGGCGGGCAGTGGCGGTGGGGAGAATGAGGGTGGAGGTGCGGACCGAGGCTGCCCTCCTTGGCTCCATGTGGAGGGCAGCGCTGCGGTGAGTGGCGCCCCTGCTCCTGCCTGGGGGACGAGGTGCCGTCTCTGTTCCCAGAGGCCGGGAAAGTGACTGCAGCTCTGGAGTCACACTTTGAGTCCTCATTCTGCCACTTGCTCTTGTGACCTTGGCAAGTTGCTTACCCCCCAGAACCTTGTCTTAGCTGCCCATAGAGGTAGAGGCAACACCTTAGAGTCTTCCAGCGGCTCTCAAGGGGCAGAATGGCACAGTGCGAGGCGTGGCCTGCACAGTAGTGAAGGGGAGAGGCTGCCTGCCCTATTGGTCTGGGAAGGCTTCACAGAGGAATCCCTGGGTAAGTAGGAAGGAGGCCACAGGGATGGGACGAGTGGAGTTCTGGGCCTGTGGGTGTGTGGGCTTAGTGGGTGAGGTGGGGGCTGGGCCTTAGGCTCTTCTGGATCCTGGGCTGCTTGTACTTTCCAGGCGGTGTCCGCTCTGCCTTCCAGCTGTCCTTTTGTAGATACAGAGGGGCCAGCCTTCAGGGCAGAGGCAGTGCTGCATCTGTGTGTCTGGGGGTTGGCTCCAGGGCCACACTGGAGCACGAGGTGACTACAGCTGGGGTTGGCAGAAATGAGGGCCAATCCCGACCTGGAACTCACGCTTGGGGGTGGCGGCCAGCATGTCTGGGGGCAATGGGCACACGACTCTCAGCTAGGTGGTGCACACTGTTACTTCTGACTGGGTATTCCTTGACCAGGAGCTAGTTTAGGTGGAAGAACAGTCTCGTGTGGGGCGCCATAGGGTGGGCCGGGCAGGAGCTTACCCTGGTCCCCCAGCGTAGCTCCAGGCCTCCTTATAGAAGGCCCCCTCTCAGGGAGCGGAGAGAGTCTGTAGGGAGGAAGGTGGAGTGAGGAGGTTTCCAGAAGATCTGGCCCATGAGGCCTGCCCAGAAAGGGGTTGGGAAAAAGGGACCCCCACCCCCGTTCCCTGTCCTTCGCCTGTCTCTCCAGGGTCCTCCGTCCTGGCTGGGTGTAGCCCGCAGGAAGTTTCCTGAAATCAGGCGGTGTTTCAGTGAAGGTGCCCATGGCTGCCTCCGTGGGAGCGTGTTCCTGCCTGAAGGCAGGCAGGCCTCACACGAAGGGACAGCGTTCTCCTGGGAGCACCACTCGTGTGGGTTTGAAGTGCCAGCTATGAACAACGCTGGGAGTGTGGCCCCCACTGGTGGGCTTGAGGGGGTGTGGGATGTTAGCCGGGTCTCCAGAGGGTACCCCCTGGAGGCTGAATGACAGCAGCTGAGTGGCAGGCACTCCTGTGGGCACAGTGGGTGCCCGGACTGAGCTGGGGCAGCTCCTGTCAGGAAAGGGAGGGGAGCTGGAGTCGTTGTGGGCTTTCTGTTTATGTAAGGATTACTTCTGTCTTAAAACCTCCTCTCACGGCCTCTGAAAGGTGCGGGGCCAGAGCACACTCTTCTGCCTTTTGTGGGGTGCTTGGAAGAGGGGCCTTGAGGCGGCCCTGTTCTAGCCTTCCGTGTGGGCTGCCTAAGGTGGATGGGGCCTTGTAGGTAAGTGGGGGCCCTCATGGGGTGGTGTTGCTCTGTGGGTTAGGAAGTCACATTTCCCACCTCTGCCATTCTCATTGGCCTTTGGGCTGATGTGTGTTTGGGGGTTGGTATTGGGATCAAGGTTGCTCAGGGGATGGGGGCACACCTGAGGGGTGCTTTTAGCTTAGGTCTTCGACTGCCTCCTCGAGACAGGGAGGAGCCTGAAGGGACAGGGATCTTCTGCCATGGTCACTCTGACCTCGTGAGCTACTTCCCCTTGTGCCAAGGGGCTCATGAGGCTGAACTGCTACCCTTGGGAGCAGGGTGTCGCTTCTGTAGCCACAGATGACATGTTCCTCCACACCGCTGGCCCCAGCCTTTCTGCCTCATGGGGTAGAGAGAGGTGAGCAGTGGGGCCGGGTGTTGGGGCAGAGGCTTCGTGTGCAAAGATGAGAGTGGGGGAGGTGCAGAGCACACAGTTTCCCTCCCTCTGGCCTCCCTCACCCCTCCGCTGGCCCTGCCAGCTCCCCCCTGCCCGACCTCCCGGAGTGCCAGGGGCCCAGAAGCCATGTGAGCAGCCGCCAGTGCGGGTGTTGAGCATTCTGTAAACAAGGACCTCTGGAAGGTGACTCCGGTCGTCAGCGGTCTTCAGCCTCGTCTCTGTTCATTCCCCCACACCTTTTGTGTTCACAAGAGGGCAGAGCTGGCCCCCAGGGACTTGAGTTCCTGCCCTTCCCTGCCAGGGTCAGTCCACCTGGGGATAGCTACCCACCTACCTGCAACGGGCCAGGTGTAGGCCCCAGGGGAAGAACCGGACAGTCCTGGCCCTGGTCCTGGATTTCCTGGAGCCAGTGTTGTTGTTGGGCACCTGGCCTGAGCTGGGCGTGGGATCCTTGGGGCTGACAGGCACACTGCCTGGGCCCGCTGCCTGGAGGTGAATGAGGTGGTAGTCCTCGTTCCAACCTATAGTGGGCTTCTGCCAGGGCTGAGCACCACCAGACCCAGTGGCGCATGTCCCCACAGCCATGTTCCTACTAACCCGGCAAAAGGCCCTCTCCCTTTCTTCCCCCTTTCCTCCCCCTGGCCCAGGCTGCGGCCTCTCCAGGATGGGGGCTTGCTGTTCCCACACCTGGCGGTCAGTGTGAGGGCAGAAGCCTCTGGCTGTCTTCACTTTGCTGGGAAGAGAAGAGCAGTGCTTCTTTGGCCCTTCAGCAGGGGGCACCACCTTGCCTGTGGCAAAGTTGCTTTGTTGTTTACAGACACAGTGGGGGCCCACACTTGGCCCAGTCTGGGATGGGTGGGTGGCTGGCAGGGCAGCGTCACACAGGTGACTGCTGGGGCTCCACCCAGTGGAGGGTGCAGCCAGGCGGGCTCTGCCCTTTTGTGCTGAGCATCCCTGTGGGGAAGTCAGGCACCAGAGCTGTCACGGCTGACCCAGCCCAGGAAACTTTGATCCATCACTTGGCTGTCCCCATGCTAGCGAAGTGCCTGGTGTGGCTGGGCAACAGGTACCCACAGAGAGCCCTGAGTCCTGTTCTGTCACCCACCCCCTGACCCGGCCAGTAGTTGTTGGCCTGATCTCTGATGAGGGTGAGGAGCCCCAGTTGCAGGGTCTGGCACGTGCTGAAGCTGGGCAGATGCTTTGCTTGGCATCTTCGGTTGTCCTGAGGTCCAGAGAGGAGTAAACAGGGTTGCACAAGCTTTGCGGTGGGCTGTGTGGCAAGTGTATGGTCATCCGTGCCTTCCTGTCTGTTCCTACAGACAGCAGCGTTGCAGTGGCCTCTGCCCTCCTTCCCAGGGCTGAGCTCAGCTCTGTTCCACCAGTTGTCTCTGGCCTCAGGCTCTGTCCCACTGGTCGACTCTGACCTCATGGCAGGGGGAAGCCTGGACTCCACACAGGTATTAAATGTGGATGCTTCAGGAAGCTGGACCTACAGAGCTGGTTATGCTGCCCTCTGGGCCATCGGTGGGATACTGGACTGGCTACCCGGACCGAGCGAGTGCCCCTCCCCCAGGCCACCTCTGTGAGAGGGGAGTTGTTCTAGGGGCCAGAGAGACAGCTGGCAGGCTGGAGTTGAGGCCTCCCAGCCATCCGCACCCCCGGGTCTGGTCACATTCCTGAGGGACCTGCTGAGCCTCCCTGGCCCTGGGGGCGGGGGAAGGACAGGCAGGGATGGGCTCCAGGCTCCTGCAGGCCTCCTCCCCCACCCTGGCTCCATTCCAAGGGAGCCCAGGTCTTCCGGAGTGGTGTACAAGGAGCCAGGATCTCAGGACCCCCGTCTCTTGTGACCTGGGGGCGGTTGGGGCAGAGGGAGCCCTCCCGCATCTGCTAGCAGCTGCCAGTGGCTTTTGGCAGGCTGGTATTGAAAGGCCGAGCTTTCGAAAACTACAAGAGGAGGCCATGTGGTCAGGCTGGGCTGGGCAGGAGTGGGCTGGGCCCTCTGGGCAGGGAGGGGACAAGAGCAGATCTAGAAGGGAAGGAGGCAGGAGAGGCAAAAGCGGTTGAGACTGGTTCTTATAAATAGCCCACTGCACCAGTGCCTCCAATTTTGACCTTTTGTTATGTAAATGTGGCCAGCCTGGGAAGGGCCTTGCCCAGGCCTCCTGCTGCCACACCCGCCATGAATTGTGTGCCTGTCCTGGCTTCCCAGGCCTAGGTGGCCCTCAGTACCCTGAAGCCCTGGGGTGGGAGGAGGGTGCAGTGTCTTCGAGCTCCCTAGACCTGCCACCTTTCTTACCTGCCACAGGGCCTGTCTTCAGGGCACTGTGGCCACTGTCTCCTTCCTAGCTAGCTGCCCCTGGCATCTCAGCCAGAAAAGCCCCCTGACCTTGGGAACAAGGGCTTCAGGGCTACCAGGAACCTTCTACTTCACTGTCCTGTCCCTTCCTCCGTCCCTAGAGCATGGCTGTCTGGGTGACCATGTCCATCTTCTCCTCTCCAGGTGACTAGGCATTGATGCACCCCCAAGGGAGGCCACGCGCTCAAGGAGGCCACCCCCACTGGCTGCTGCTCACATGGTTTCTGGGCCCCTGGCACTCCGGTAGGTCAGGGAGGGGGGCTGGCAGGGCCAGAGGAGGGGTGAGGGAGGCCTGGGGGAGCCAGGACTTTGTCCACCTGCTCCTTCTCCTGGGGGCTGTCTGGGAGGCCCGCAGAGCCCTGCCGCTCTCAGCCTGTGTCCAGCCGCAGCCCTTTGTGTGCCTGCAGCACCGAGCAGCACCAAGCAGCACCAAGCAGCACCAAGGGGAGGCTGGGGCCCACTGTCCTTGGTTGAGGGAGGAGGGGCTGCCGTGGGCTCACAGGCTCTTGGAGGATGGGACCTCCTGTCCTCCCCAGTCCCTTTGACAGGCTCAGAGTACCAGGCATCCTGGGTCCTGGCAGAGCTGACCTTGCATTTCCCTAGGGCCAGGTATCCCGGCCAGGGAAGCCATGCCTTAGGCTCTTTGTCCCTGCCTGGCTGGCTGTGGGGCAGAGAGTAGGGGAGGGTTGGTTCCCATGGAACCTGGACTCCCAGCCTCTGAGTCCCAGATGAGCAGCCTGGCAGGGCCAGGCTGGCCCACAAGTGTTTGCTGCCTCCTGCTGTCAGCCCTGGGTGCAGCCTGACCCCAACTTGTGTTCACAGTAAGCTCTGAGGGCACCTCTGGGGTGGGGGTGTTTGCTATGGTTTTATTTATTTTTTAATCTTTGCAAACAAGGGCACGTGTGTAGCAAGGTGGGGAGCATTTGTGTTTCAGGGAGGCAGGGGGTGGGTACAGTCACTCACTGGGGTGAGCAGGTGGCGATCACACTGCCACACAGCCAGCCTCCAGGGTTCCTGATGAGGCCAGAGGCTTCTGCATGTTTAGTACTTAATGATGTCAGTTAGTGTCCTGTGCCACTCTGTCGAGGCCAGCTAGCTGTCTTTCCCATGTTGAGACCTGCTGCCTTGCCCAGAAAGGACCCAGGGCCCGACAGTGCCAGGGACTTGGCTGGCACATTTTCTGCCCAGCATCCAGAGACCCAGACCAGGAAGTGCTCTGTGCCCTCCCAGGGGCAAAGCACTTGTGGGTTGGGGGCTAGTGAGGGATGGCCTGTGGGCTACAGTGTCTTACTGTCAAGTGACATTGGCAAATCTGAAAGCTTGGGAAGCCTCTAGGGTTGTTTTAAGAGGTCCCCACTGTAGAGCAGAGGTCACAGACTGGAGGCTGCATATTTGATTTGGCCCATGTGGCATTTAAGAGCCTTTGTTTAGCACTGGGAGATTTCACCTAAAAATCTGGATTTCTAGCTTGTCCTCAAAGCTGTGTAGCTGTATGTTCAGGGAGATGGCCCTCCCAGCCCCTCAGTCCCTGCCACTTTCCAGCACACACAGTCCTCTGCTGGTCATTTTTAGGTCCCTTGTGGGCATGTGGTTGACTTTGTTTAGTGTGGAGATGGTCCCTGGGCTGTGGAGTCAAGTTCAGTCCCAGTTTCTCTACTTGGCACTGAGTGATTTTCATTGTCCTGCTTCCGTTTTCTCATCAGAACAAATGGGGTCAGTGCCCCTTCTCTGGCAGTTTTGAGTCCCAGGTGATGAGTGTGAGTTCCCGTCTTGTGTACTGTGGCTGAGGAGGTGGCCAGTGGCCAGGTCAGCTCCAAGGCCTCTCTGTGTGACACTGTCCCCCGAGGCCCGGAGCCCTTGCACGAGGGTCCTGGTCAGCTGACTCTTGGATGCCTGTTCTTGTTCACAGGTGGTACGCGTGGGCAGGGCGTGGGGACATGGGGCCCGACATGGAGCTGCCCAGCCACTCGAAGCAGCTCCTGCTGCAGCTGAACCAGCAGAGGACAAAGGGCTTCCTATGTGATGTCATCATCATGGTGGAGAACTCCATTTTCCGGGCCCACAAGAATGTCCTGGCTGCCAGCAGCATTTACTTCAAGTCCCTGGTCCTGCACGACAACCTCATCAACCTGGACACAGACATGGTCAGCTCCACAGTGTTTCAGCAGATCCTGGACTTCATCTACACGGGCAAGCTGCTGCCCAGCGACCAGCCAGCTGAGCCCAACTTCAGCACTCTCCTCACTGCCGCCAGCTACCTCCAGCTGCCCGAGTTGGCAGCCCTCTGCCGCCGCAAGCTCAAGCGAGCCGGCAAGCCCTTTGGCTCTGGACGGGTGGGAGCCGCTGGCATGGGGCGAACCCCTCGCAGCCAGCGGCTGTCCACAGGTTCCGTCATCCAGGCTCGGTACCCGGGGCTCATGGATGGGCGCAAGGGGGCCCATTCCTCCCAGGACCTCCCCCAGGCCAAAGGCTCAGATGATGAGCTCTTCCTCGGCAGCTCCAACCAGGAGAGCGCACTTGGCCTGGCCCGGGCTGTCTGTCCAGCCAGTGGGGAGGCCGGCCTGGGCAGCTGCAGCACCAATGGGAGCAGTGGGGGGTGCGAGCAGGAGCTGGGCTTGGACCTGTCCAAGAAGAGCCCCCCCTTGCCCCCTGCCACCCCTGGCCCCCCCCTTACCCCTGATGACCCGGCCCAGCTGAGTGACAGTCAGCACGGCTCACCCCTCTCGGCCTCTGCCCCTCCCATTGCCAACAGTGCCTCTTACGCTGAGCTGGGGGGCACCCCCAGCGAGCCCATGGATCTGGAGGGGGCTGAGGACAACCACCTGAGCCTGTTGGAGGGGCCCAGTGGGCAGTCCCGGAAGAGCCTCCGCCACTCAGCCCGCAAGAAGGAGTGGAGCAAAAAGGAGCCCATGGCAAGTTCCCCCTTTGAGCGGAGGGAAATGGGGCCCAAGGGCCCCTGCCCAGGGGAAGAGAGTGAGGGGCTTGGGGACAGGGTTCCCAATGGCATCCTGGCCAACAGTGTAGCAGGGGGTGGCCCCAGTGGGCCCTACGGAGAGCCCCCATACCCCTGCAAGGAGGAAGAGGAGAATGGCAAGGACGGAAGCGAGGACAGTGGGCAGAGCGGGAGTGAGGGGGGCAGCGGCCACGCCAGTGCCCACTACATGTACCGGCAAGAGGGCTATGAGACAGTGTCCTATGGGGACAACCTATATGTGTGCATCCCCTGCGCCAAAGGCTTCCCCAGCTCTGAGCAGCTCAATGCCCACGTGGAGACTCACACGGAGGAGGAGCTGTTCATCAAGGAGGAGGGCGCCTACGATACGGGCAGTGGGGGCGCTGAGGAGGAGGCTGAGGACCTGTCCGCGCCCAGTGCAGCCTACACAGCCGAGCCCCGGCCCTTCAAGTGCTCAGTCTGTGAGAAGACCTACAAGGACCCGGCCACCCTGAGACAGCATGAGAAGACGCACTGGCTGACGCGGCCCTTCCCCTGCAACATCTGCGGCAAGATGTTCACGCAGCGTGGCACCATGACACGCCACATGCGCAGCCACCTGGGCCTGAAGCCCTTCGCCTGCGATGAGTGTGGCATGCGCTTCACCCGCCAGTACCGCCTGACAGAGCACATGCGCGTGCACTCAGGTGAGAAGCCCTATGAGTGCCAGCTCTGCGGGGGCAAGTTCACTCAGCAGCGCAACCTCATCAGCCACCTGCGCATGCACACCTCCCCCTCCTAGAAGCCAAAGACCTTCTCTGGCCTGTGGGCGCCCTCTGCAGACTCGCCCCCGGGAACAACGGAAGGAAGAAGCAAGGAGGCCGGGTGGGCGGACCCGGACCCCAAATCCAGCAGGGGTGGCTCCTGGTGGCACCTCCAGCCAGCCCCCCCACCCAGAGCTTTAATCCACAGTCTGTACCAAGGGAAGAGAGCAGAGGAAGGCTGGGTCCCGAGCCCCAAAGGTATTGTGGGTGTGCGTTCTACCTCCGGATCCTGCCTGGGCCCCTGGCTCCCCGAACAGGGCTGCCACAGGGCCTGTGGGAGTGGGTCATGGGGACCTGGCCTTGCAGGTCAGGTCTGAGCAGAGGGGAGTGGGTACCTTCCTCTGCGCTGGGAGGATCAGGGCTGCCTGTGGCCAGGGGCAGTGTCCCTACACGCACGAGTAATAGTCTGTGTGCGGGCCACCTTGGCTCTAAGGGGAGCAGCGCTGGGTGAGCAGTGCTGGGCAGCAGTGGACGGAGCCCTCCCTCCTCGAGCCAGGGGGCCCCCACCGCCTACCTCTCCACAACTAAAGAGCCCTCTGGGCCTGTGTTGCTGTTATTCCTACTGATCTGTTCCTTTTTTCTTTATGAGATTTGTTTTTTAAACCAAAACCAACAAAGTTTATTTTCCTCCCGGCCCCTTGGGGCTGAGCCTGGGTCTGCAGACTGAATGTATGGGGCAGTCGCCCCTCCCGCCCTGGCTGCAGGCTGCGGGGCGCCCACCCCTCCAGGCCCCAGAAGCCCTTCTTGGCCAAAGGCTTCCCTGGGCCCCGAGCCCCACCTCGGCTGCCTCAGGAGAGAGAGTGCTTTTCCTATAGTTTCCCAGGAATCTTCTTTGTTTAGAGGTACTTGTTTTTTATTAAGAGAAAAACCAGTGTAACGTTTATGTGAATGTTTGAACTGGAAGGTCTGGGGTTCGAGGGGGGAGGGGGGAGGCTGGACTGGGTGCCAGGGCCGTCGGTACTCTTGTTTTCCTTTTCTTTGTGTGTGTGGTATGCGCAGTGTGTGTGGACAGATGTTGCGCTTTCCTTCTTCCTTACTTGTCAAGGTGGAGAGACTTCTGACCTTTTGCTACCTCTTGAAATTCATGAAGAACAGTAAGTTGGTGACTGGCAGTTGAGGCCGTGACACTTTTGTTTTCCTCTTGTTAGTGCACACAGGCGTTCAAGTGCACAGCCCTGGGCCCCACCACGCACACCACGTGCTCAGAGAGGCTTCTGCAGCTTCGGAGTCTTCAGGCTCGTGTGTGGGTTTTCTCCTGAGCACAGGGCTAGCCGTGGCCACCCTGAGGGTGTCTGAGTGTGTTGTTGAGAGCCAGGGAGCCCATACACCACCAGTCTGGGCCCAGGCGAGGGTGTGAGTGCTCCAGCCCCATGGGAACCCGGTACTAGGCAACGGGGAGATCAGAGCCAACTATTTGCAGCTCCCTGCCAGGACCAGGATGAGGTGGAAGTGAGCCCCCCCTCCATCCTGTCCCTGGGCCTGCAAGAGCCGAGCTTGGGAAAGCAGCAGCCCTGTCTAGCCATTGCGAGTAGGTGCTACCAGGATGCAGGTGTGGGGAAGGGCTGACCAAAGTGCTAACGGACCCCCTGGGGGACAGGGCGGGGCCCTGCCCTGTGTGGGCCTCGTTCTAAGCAGTCCTGGCCCACTCACTCTGTCCCAAGGCTGGCTGCCACCTGTTGGCTCAGCCCTGCCTCGCCCCTCATGCCCCTCACCTTGGGTTTTCTCTGCTGGCCTCAGACACCTCCATGGGGCCAGAGCCTGGCTCAAAAGGCCAGGCTGAGGTTGCTGAAGTTGGCTCCACTGTCCTCAGCCGACTGGAGCCACAGTACTGGGCCAGCGGCTTTATCTTCTTCATTTTGCTTAGTGTTTTTGCTTTTTTTTTTTTCTTTCTACTTTAAGTTCAGACCAAAAAATTCTGGAGTCATCCCCTATCCCTACCCCTCACCCTTCCAGAGACCCTCCAGCTAAAAACAGAGCCTGAGTTCAGGGACCTGAGTGGTGAACGGTGTGTTCGGGAGTGAGGGCTCCTGAGTGAGCCCTCATGTGGCGCCCCTAGCCTGGAGCCGCTCTTCTTCCCTTTGGGTGGGAAGAGGAGGACTGGGCTCAGCGGCTCTTGTTCCAGCAGGTCAGTGAGGGGCAGGGCCTGCCGCAGGCCCCCCACTCTCCCTACCCCCACCCCACTCCATCAGCACTTAAGCCACATGACACAAAGTCTGTACTGCACGGGAGGTGTGCACACGCCCGGCCTGTGTGTGGCCTCCCGAGCTGTGGGCAGCCGCAAACATGAGGTGTCTTGTGAAAGTAGGTGATTCATTTGCAGAGCTTCAGGGACTGGGCGCAAAGGCCCCTCACTCAACGATGTTCGTGCGACATAGTATTGTACCCACCTGAGTATTGTATCGAGCCTTTTCTGTATTTTAACAAGAAAGCAAAACACTAGTTTCCTATTTAAGATTTTAAGGGTTTGTGGGGGGGGCGGGGGTGACGCAACACTTGGTTTTGTTTTCTTTCTCCTTGGATTCACGTGGAGTGTGCTTGCGAGTGTGTGCGTGGAGATGCGTAAAGAGCCTCACAAGGAATTAGGCCGTTGGAGGCCCAGGGCGGCTTACAGTTCTCTGCTTTAGTCACTTAATTTCTGAATGTTTCGGAGAAACAGGAAACAGAAAATAGCAGATGTCATGTAGGAAGGAGGATAAACAACAACAAAAAGAAAAAAGAAAAAAAAAGCTCATACCCAAATTCACAAACCTATTTTTTAAACCAAAGCACATTTTGAATGAGTATGGAACCTCAGCGGGCTCAGAAAAAAAAGATACTAATATATTTATCTCATTGTTTACATAAACTTTTACAGTTTCAGACCTCAGCAGCTGTAAGGCCAGTCCCAGTGAGTCCCCACCTTCCGCTGGAGCTCCCAGGCAGAGGGGCAGCTATGGGCCCTGGACAGGTGTGGAGGCCCCAGGTTCACCGGAGCCGCCTTTCCAAGCCCCGCTGGCCACCAAAGAGCTTGGGCCAGTGCTGACTGGCCCCCAGGCCTCCTGGCAGTCCTGGCCAACTGGCGCAGCAGGGGTGGCCGGTGGCTCTGACCACTGGACCCAAATCTGGGCTTGGGCCTCGGGATGGCGGTGAGCCTCCCCACATGCTGCTCTGCCCGAGATCCTGGGGTGGGTTGATGTGAGGGTCCCTCTGAAGCCAAAAAGCCAGGACCTTTGCACGTCCATTGATTCTGGCTAGTCCCTGTCCCTGGGGACCCCACCCCCCCACCTCCGGCCAGCAGTTGAGGGGCTTACTGGGCTGGTCCTTACCAACACAGACGGTGCAAACACTCTGAACAGTGTTGTTTTTGTATCAATATGTTTGTGCAGTGATGAATGTATTTATTTCTCAGACTTGGGGCGAGCGAGGGGCAGGCCGGGCTCTGCTACCGCACGCTCCTGCCAGACCGAGCCACCGCAAGGGCTCGTCCAGGATTGCAAAAAAGAAAAGATGAACCTTTAAGTAAATAAGAATCTCAGAGACTCGCAGCATAGCCATACACCTCAGCCTGTGAAATGAACAATCCGGACCCGGACTGACTTCCAGAACCTCACGCAGCTGTGTGTGTCCTTTCCTGTTAGCCACCATTTGGGGGCGCTGGGCTGTCCCCTGCCCCCACCCCGTCAGTATTCACTGGACTTGACCAAGTGCAGGAGTGCGATCTGGGCTGGCTGGCTGGGCGGGCAGACCCCAGCCGCCCTCCCCACAGCCATCCTGAGTTGGGGTGAGGCCTGGGCAGCCGGGAGGGCAGGGCTCAGGGAAGAGGTCACTGCATCTGTGCTTTCCCCTTGGCTCAGGGGACAAAAGCAGAGGCGCCAGGCCTTAGGAGAACGAATGAGGGGTCTCAGCCCTGCCATGCCCCATGAAGGGACCAAGGCCCTTGCTCTTCCCCAGAGTCGCGTTGGGGCAGAGTTCTTGAACCTGTGAATCCGATGCCAGGAGTGAGGGGATGGAGAGGGACCTAACCAGAGCCTCAGTCTGACATTCCAAATCAGGGGGTGGGTGTGCACTGTGGGAATTGAGGCTGCCCAGTATCCCCCAGCTTCAGTCACCCCACTTCAGTTTTCTACCGGGAACCCCTCCCCCTACCTCACCTTGCTATTTATTGCTGTAATTTATTGACCTCAAAAATGCTGCATAACAGACCTCACTCGGGGCAGGGAGGATCCCCAGGGCTCCCCCCCCTCCACTTGGCGGGGCCCCGTGGGGCCAGGTGCTGAGGGGAGTCTCTCTGTACCCTACCCATCACTTGCTTTCCCCCTCCCCCCTTGGGGGACCCAGGTTGGGCACTGGCCCATTCATAAATACCTCGAGGGGGAGGGGGAGGGATGGGGTTATAGTTTTGTTTAATTGGAACTGGAAGAGGGATCATGTCCTACTTTATGTCCTTCCCGGAAAGGGGGAGGGACACTGTGATCGCACTCCTGTACTGGCCACCGCCGCTGTCAGTCATCACATTGAGTTCACTTTCCTTGAGAGTTTGGATTAATTCAGGTCAGAGCTGCAAGTACGCAGCCCTCAAGTGTCATAGAAAAGCAATTCACCGACGACTGATCTCTCCATTCAGAAGCGTGCAGTCTTAATGTACAGTGATGAGAAACTGTTATTTTATGATCTTTTCATTAAAAGCTTGATTGAAAACTCTTTGGTTGGGCCTCTCTGTACTGTGGCTCTTCTTGCTGAAAATGGCAAACTGCTTTCCTTTCTCTGTCTAGCACTTCCAAGACCCAGGGAGGGTGGGAGCTGGATGGGCACCTGCCCATCACCATCCTAAAGGCAAGTTTCAGATGGGGCTATGGGACCTCACTTGGTAGAGTGTGCCTCCCAGGGTGGGGCACTGGCCCAGGAACCAGCCATCTGGGGGTGGCATCTTGGGCAGTGTTGGCCTCAGTTGGCTGATGCACTGTAGGGAGTAGTGGATGTGGAGATGGGGTGTGGACTCGGTGCCTGGGTGAGGGGATATGTGGCTTGTGCCCAGGACCTCCTGCTGGAGCAGCAGAGTTGAGCTGGGGCAGGGTGGCAGCTTTCATGTCCACTGATGCTTCCTGCTTGGCCTTGGGGTCGAGAATGATGGGAGGAGGAAAAGAGAATAATGTCTCCGGGGACAGTCATTTCCGGGAGGACTGTTCCTTCCAGTCGCCAGGAGGGGATCCCAGGATGTTTGAAGATGAGGAGGAGGAGGAGGAGTGGGGATGGGGCCTGGAGGGCAGTCAGCGTAGGCCTGACCCCATGGAGGGAGGGGAGCCGTGGCTTTCACTAGTGCTGAGCTAGCCATGGTGCTTCTAACAGAAGGGACCGTGGCGAGGGCTTTATGCCAGACTTGCCTGGAGCTTAGCACCAGCGCCTTGAAGAATAGTCAAGAGAAGGGTGAAAGGTGAGATGAAATACTCTATTGCAGCTTGAGCCCAAGCCAGGATGAGGATCAGGAGCCATTCTTAGGTTAAAGTTGTAAACACTGTTTCCTTTCATAAAGTGTTTTGTTTAAAACATGGTTCTTTCCAAAAGCCATTTGAGGAGATTGGCTTCTACCAACTCCTATGTAGTGGAGAATGTTTGGACCAAAAAAAAGGAGCAGCCGTAGGAAAAAATTACTCTGCTGCCATGCGACCAAAAATTGTGATTGAGTGTCACAGTTGGCTCTGTGTGCCCTGCTGTCAAAAAAAAAAGCCGTTCCTATCATCAGGCCGGAAGAAGTATCCCTGATGCCAAATGTTTCAAGAACTGTTTCCCACAGGCCTTTCTGTGAGGACATTTTCTAAACTGTACAGCAAAAGTAGATGATGGGTCTTTTTAATGAAAATTTTAATTCATTTTTAGAGAGGGGAAAGAGGGAGAGAAATATTGATCAGTTGCTGCTTGCATGTGCCCAACCAGGGTTGAACCTAACAACCCAAGCACGTGCCCCGACCTGGAATCAACCAGCAGCGTCTTGCTTTGCGGAATGATGCCCAACCCACGGAGCCACTGGGCAGGGGCCGTAGAGGGGGCTTTTGATGGCTCCTTCTCAAAACCTGGTAAGAGCCACAGCATGCTATTGAAAGCTCTCAGAGGCGCTGCAGAGTGTTACCGGTGGTGGTTCTGCCTCTGGGGGGCTGTTCAGTAACATGCATACCTGCACTGACAACCTTTCTAGAATCAGAACATTTGGACATGTGAGACCTAGGCTTCAGTGGCCCAAGCATCCCACCTATGCTGTCCAGTCAACTAACACAGGCCAGATTTGGCCCTGCAGCCCAGGGCCTGGGGGAGGAAGATGCCACCTGGGAGCGGGCAGGACCCCTCCTGTCCTAACCTGCATGTACTGTGCACCGAAGGGGGAGGCCACTGAGTGGCTAGCTGGGGAAGACGGTCACTCAGGCTGAGATGGCTCATACAGTCTCGCTGGGGACCTCGTGTATGGAGAATGAAGGTCACGGGTTACCTTGCTGAGTGCAGCCAGCGGGTGGCGCAGGGAGAACCAAGAATTGACTTGCCTGAGGGGCTGAGACTAAAGGAAGCTTTGCTGCTCCATTGGTTTTTGCCTCACCCCATTTGAGTAGGGGAGAGACTCCAGGGCAGGGAGGGGACTTTTAACGCGGGGGGGGGGTTCCTTCCTCCCTTAGGTGACCCTCGGTGTTGGGACTATCTCTCCATCTCCCCAGAGTGAGCCTGGCTTCAGGAGAGTCCCCGTGGCGTTCCCGGGCAGGATGAGCTGAAGAGAGGGTTGGCTCCCTCAGAAGGGGCATCCTGTCTGCTGGGAAACCCAGGTACACACAAAGGAGAGTGTAGGAAAGCCCTTCATCTGATCTTCAGGAGTGGCTGCTCCGTCACTGAGTCTCTAACAGTAAAAATGGGCTCGCGCTGGCTTCTGAACCGGGAGGTTGCTGGTTCGATCCCTGGTCAGCGCACATGCCCAGCAGGGCACATGCTTGGGTTGCAGGCCAGGTCCCTGTTGGGGTGTGCAAGAGGCAAATGATTGATGTTTCCCTCCCTTCCCCTCTCTCTAAAAATAAAATCTTAAACAAAGGGTTCTACGTGAGGAAGAGCTATGACAGAAATTGGTCAAGTAGGACCACAAAGACCAAGGTCAGGAAAAGTGAAGACCAAGCAATGATTCAAGGGAGGGCTGTCCCATGCATGCAGACCGGCATATGAAGAGCACTGAGGCATTAAACTGTGATTTATTTGTATAGGGAATTAAAATGGAGTTCACTTTGGTTATAGGGGAAAAACAGCAAGAGGCTAGGAGCGGGGCAGGACCAAACATTGGGGGGCTTCGCATGCCATGCGAAAGAAGTTGGGACTTTGGATTTTATTCTTTAAGTGAATGGGTTTTTGTTGTTGCTTAAAGCCACGTAACCCTTTTGATCAAATAGTTGCTTATGTGGCAGCATCTCTATTATTTGATATGCTAATTAAATATTTTTCTATTGTACAGAATTTAAATTTCAAATACAAAAAAAAGGGGGTTCTACACAAGAGGTACAGATTTTATAATTGTTCTTTTATTCAACAGAGCATCATATAGATGTTCTCACAAGACTGCAATAAACATGAAATTACTGCATTCTGCCACAAAGACCGGGGAGTGCATGGCCTTGTGCCTGGATGGACTCCGCAGCTGCCCGCGGGGCGGAGGGCTGGGGGATGTGCCAGGAAGTCGGGGACCCACAAATGTGGGACCAAGGTGCTGGCTTTACAGGGGTTCACTCTAAATCTCTCACCTTCTCTATAAGTTTGAACATTTTCTTAAATTAAAATTTTAAAATTCATAAAAGTTGGGGACAAAGCTACCTATCTGTGGTAGGCTATTTATTTATAATCAACTAATTTCAAAAGTACCAAGACATTAAGAAATCTCTAGGGTGGTGCAGGGGGGTCATTCAGCTGACACTCCCCCCGCTTCCTTATTCTGAGTGGCCTGCAGTGGGATGGCCTGAGTCAGGCCGGTATCTCCCTAATGGATGCCTGGGAAGCTGACATGGTCACACGGGGAGAAGACATTGCACAACCCAGCCTGGGAGAGGAGGACATTGAACTAGAGTCCTGAAGAAGGGGCAGAACTGGGCCACACAGGCTGACGGGGAAGAAAGGCAAGTGCTGTTGTGGGGGTGGGTGGATGGGATGTGGGGAAGCAAAGGCAGGGCTGCTGCAGGAATCAGACCCCAGTGGCTGCTCCCTGGCAGGGCTTGAAGCCACTAAGGCCAGGACTGTTTGTTTCCATGACTACTGTCACCCACACCTCATCCCCTTCACCTCCAGGCCACTGAGGGGAGGCAGCTCAGGTTTCACAGCAGCACAATTAGCACAGCGGCTGCAGAGATTTTCCCTGTCCAGATGGGGGTGTAGGGGTGGGTGGGGAGGAGCTAGGCTGCCCCAAGGGACACCCCTACCCTGTGGGCATCCCCAGAAGCACCCATCAGCTCATCCTCCACAGCTGTATGACCTTTAGAAATGAACTGAGTCTGTTTCAAAGTGACGAAAGTTGAAATAAGATTTGTAGGATTGGACAGAAATGCTTGTTCCCCCAGCAGATCACTGAAGAGTGGAAAGTGTCCCTTTTTCCTTTTTATTTTATTTTTTCAAAATATCTATTTATTTACTTTTAGAGAGAGGGGAAGGGAGGGAGAAAGAAACACCAATGTGTGGCTGCCTCTCACGCGCTCCCACCAGGGACCCAGCCTGCAATGCAGGCATGTGCTCCGACTGGGAATCAAACCGGCAACCCTCTGGGTCGCAGGCCAGCACCCGACCCGCTGAGCCACCCCAGCCAGGGCTATTCTTCCTTTCTAATAGACTAACTTAACATAAGGGATATTTTGCAATTCTGATACAGTTGCCAACAAGTACTTGAGAAATTTGACAGGGCAGCTCTACAGTTTATCTGGATGAGAAATGATTGATCCTAAGTGGCCCTGTGCTGATGAAGAATAGTACCTGCTCCCTGCCCAACTGGAAGGAGCAACAGCAACAAGCAGACACTTCCCCCAGAAAACCTGTCCTGCTGAGGGTGGTCCATATTACAGCCTGTCCGTGGGAATGAAATCCATGGGGACCTTGAATTAGTGCAGACTCCAGGGATGATGTACGGGTGCTCGATGGTTGGGAAAAATGAGCATCAGATGTAGGTCTCTGGATTCAGATCAATGTGAGTTTCAATTCAAGGGTGGTGGGCCTCTGGGGACGCACGCACACTCATGTCCCTCTGTAAACTGAGGGCCTATGTGCCACATCCTTGGGGATTTAAGGATTGAAGGAGTTCATTGAATCGTGCCTGGAGAGATGGACATTGAGAACGTGCAGCACCTAACCACCTCCATCCTTATCCCTGTGCCACCTTGGGTTTACTTTTGACCTCTGGGGATGGATTCCAATGCGAGACGCCAGGAATAAAGTTATCCTGCCCCCAGTGGCCTGCTTTCTGCCGGGTGTCCCATTCATATGAGTACCAGACTTTTGCTGCAGACAAAACACAGCACCCCCTAAACTCAGTGGTGTAAGACAAGAGCCATTTTATGTGCTCTTTACTCTCCTGGGTCAGCAACATGGGTCAGGCTGGGCCAGGCTCGGTTGGGCAGTTCTGCAGCTCTTGCCTGCGGTCTACAGTCATCGCAGGACTGTCCAGGGCTGTGTGGTCAGAGCCAGCTGCCAGCCCACCAGGCTTCTTCCCTTGGTTCTAAGAGGAAAAGAGGGGCTGAAGGGCTCTAAGGCCCAGCCTCACAAATCACTTCTGCTTCCTAATGGTCAGAGCAAGACACGAGGGTGAGCCCAGACCAACGGGCTGGGAAACAGGGTCCACCTTCTGATGGCAGGACTGCAGAAAATGTATGGTCGTTTTCAATCTACTGTAAGAAACCTTGCCCCTGGCTGGTGTGGCTCAGTGGACTGAGTGCCGGCCGATGAACGAAAGGGTCGCTGGTTTGATTCCCAGTCAGGGCACATGTGAGGCAACCACACACCGATGGTTCTCTCTCTCCCTCTCTTCCCATTCTGTCACCCATTTATTACATTTGCCCTTCCTATCTTTTTGTTCCAAGTGTACTGTTTTTAAGTAAGATATAATTACATAGTGTTCTGTGGGATGCACTCAGGTACTCGACCTTCAATCAAGATAGAGGACGTTGCTGTCACCAGGTGTCTTTTGATAAGCAAAAATCCCTAAACTTTATATAATCAAATTCATTCACTTTCTCTCTCAAAGACTGCTTGCTCTGTCTTGCTTAAGAAATCTTTCATCACACCAAAGTCACAAGCCTTCTCCATGTAAGTCTTTGATCCTCCTGGGGTTACGTTTTAGCATGTGAAGTAGAGATCTACTTCTATTTCTCTTTTTATCATGAGCTACTTTTCCCAGCACCATTTGTCAGTGGCGAGCCCTCCCAGCCTCCGCCCCGTCCCGTCCCTCCCTATCGGTTCCGTTCCCATTGGCTGGTGGCTGTCAAAGGAAGGAGTATGTGCCCTAGTGGTCCCAGGACAGATGAAGGAAAATCTACGGGAAGCTTCTTCCTAAAAGGGCCCTGCGCCGAGGCGCCCCCTACCGCTCATTGTGACGCACGCGGGCGCCGGTCCCCGAGACCGGCGGCGGCGGCGGCGGGGCAGAGTCGCGGGAGCCATGTCCGAGGCGCAAGAGCTCATGCTGCAGCTGCAGAAGGACAACCGCGACGGGCGCCTGAGGAAGCAGGAGCTGGAGGAGCTGGTGCGCGGGCTCGAGGCCGAGAGCGAGAGCCTCACCGGGCGCCTGCAGGACCTGCGCGAGCGCGAGCGCAGGTGTGCGGGGAGCGCGACTCCACTCGGTCCTGCGGGCGGCCGCACCCGGGGCTTCGTGTAGCGTCCCGGCCGACCCGTCGGCCACTATGCCCTGCCCGGCCCGAACCTCTGCTTTAGGTTGTTGGGACCGGGGCGATCTATTCAGGGGACGCTCCTGAGGGGAGGAGGGTGGAGTCGGCGCGCGGCGACCCGACGTGGGCTTCCTCGCCCTACTCATGGCTGGGTCTTCCCTCGGGCCGCGGGAGCCTCCGTTTTCCCTCTGCAGCCTGCAGCGGAGGCGAAGCCAGGCGACGCGGGCGCTGCGGGGGGAGGCGCGCGAGGCAGCGCGGGAGCGCGCGGAGAGGGCGCGCGTGCTGCTGGAGGCAGCGGAGCGGCGCAAGCGGGACGTGGTGGGGACAGGGCCCTGAACGGGGCGGTGCCTCCGGGCGGTGCGGGTGGGGAGGACCAGCCCTGGAGAGGGCGGGGTCGTGGGTGGGGCGGGGAAGGCGGCGAGGGCGGCGGAGGGGGCAACCCTTCGGATAGGCTCGGACGCTCCCTCGATTCTGTCCGCAGGAGCAACGTAGCCGGCAGCTGCAGGAGCAGTGGGAAGAGCTGTCAAGTCAGGTACGTTCAGGAAAGGCCATTTCTTCCTTCCCCTAGGAGGTTCCACTCAGGTCCCCGTCCCTGTTTCTGTCCTGTACCCCCCTCCCAGTACGTCCCTCGCAAACCCCGCCCTCACAAAGCTCCACCCCCAGCTATTTTACTACGGAAGGGACCAACTGAGCCGGCAGCGCGCGGAGCAGCAACTCGGGACCCAACTGCTAGCGTTGCAGGTGCTTGGCAGGGCCCTGAGGGCTGGAGCAGCGACGCGGGCGGGGCCGTGACGGGGAGCTGGGGTGGGGTGGGGTCCTGACGGCCAGGGGCGCGGCCCTGAGGCGCGGCGGGATACTGGGCGGCTGGGCTCCTGACAATCCTCGGATCCAATGAAAGAAACAACTGGAGTTGCTGGAGGCCAAGCACGCGATGCAGGCGGAGGGCCTGCGGCAGGTGAGGGCGGAGCCGGGTCTGAGGGGCTGGGCTGGCTTCGGGTGTGGGTGGAGGCTGGGCCGGTGCAGGGGGGTGGCCGGCGGTGGGAATGTCCTCCCTGAGTCTAATCGAGGCTCCCCGCACCCTAGGGCGCACAGCGGACGGAGGAGGCCTGGGCCAGCTTCCAGGAGCAGAGCGGAGTCCTGCAGGTGCCGCCCCCTCTACCTTGAGAGCCACTCACCTCTGAGTCCCCTGCGGCCTCTCTCCCTCCTCCCCAGAGCGGCGGCGGCCCGCCTCCCGCTCCGTCCCTACTCCACCGACGCCTGGCCCAGACGCACTGGCCGGAGACCTCACTCCCACCCCTGCAGGAGCTGCAGGGGAAAGTGATGGAGGCGGCGGCTGCGCTGGATGCCTCGCGAGGCAGCCCGGAACTGTAAGGGATGAGGACTGTTGGGTGTGGCGGGGCGACTGTGGCCGGGGCCGATGGGCCTTATCGACGCCTGTTCCCGCAGTTGCAACTCTCAGCCACGCCGGGTGCAGGATTGCGCGGGGTCCCTCATGGAGGAGGTGGCCAAGGCCGAGTGTGTGAGCGCGTACTCGGGCGGGGAGGGCTGGAGTCAGGGCCGCCGCCACCGCGGCTCGCCCCCCGCCAGATCTGCGGTCCACCTCACACCCAGGGGGTTCCGCCGCCCCGCGAGGAACCCCCCGTTCGACGGGCCCGCCCCTACAAGGACCCCAGCTTCGCGGGGGACTGGTCCCCCCCGACTCCCGCCCCTTCCGCGGGGCACCGCGCCGCTCTCCCGCGGCGGGCGCAGAGCTGGACGCCACTCCTCTCCCCTCAGAAGAAGCGGCTGTTCTGTGGCGCGGGCGCGACGGGCGTCAAGTGAGCAGAGGGGCGGCGGCGGCGGGAACGCCGGGCTCGGGTCGGCCCCCTCAGCCCGCCCGCACACCTACCCTGCGGGATGCGGCCGGTTTGTCCGTCCGTGCGTCCTTCGGTCCGCAGGTTGTGGACGCTGAGCGCGCTGCACGTGCTGCTGCTGCTGCTCCCGCTCGGCTTTCTGGCGCTGGCGCTGCTCTACCTGGTGCTGGTCAACCCCGGAGCCTTCCGCCGCGCGCTTCGGCGCCTCGTCTCGGAGTCCGCCTTCCGCCGCCTGCGCTACACGCTGTCCCCGCTGCTCGAGCTGCGCGCGCGCGGGTTGCTGCCCTCCTAGGACTCATCACGTCGGCCACGGTCGCCTGCACCTCTGTCTCCCGTGTCATTTCTGGGTGTCTGGAGGGGAGTCAAGGGGAGACGCCTGAGGGGGGGGTCGTGAGTCTCTCAGGGCCTGGCGGCCGGTTCTAATGCGTCGGTCGTCCTCAGGGAGCGCGGGGCCTTCCAGGTGGACTTTACGTCTCGAGAGGCTGTGGCGGGCGCCGCGCAGCAAGGGGGCGGCCGGCCCGGGGCCTCTGGCGTGGGTGGGGCGCGCCTTCGCCGGGCGCTCGCTCCCGGACGCGGCCGGGCGGCCTGGCGGGGAGGCCCCTTTAGTGCGTACGGCCCGCGCTGCTGCCCTGGGGCCCGCTGGGAAGTTGGTCTGAATCTTATTGTTAAACTTGCCCTTTTTTCTTTTTCTTCCACCTGCTAGTGAGCCTGGGGCCGTGGCGGAAATTGGGGAGGGAGCTGGTCGGTGAGGTCTGCTTGGTGGTCTTCGTCCGTTAGCCCTGTGGTGCAGCGGTCGCTCGAGACCCCCGCGGCGTCCGCCTGTCGGTGCTCCCGAGCTGGGTGCTCCGCGTGGGCTTCCACGTCCGTGTTCGCGACTGCGGTCGTCCCGGGGCATCGTCTTTTTTGTTTATGTGAAGTGTTCTGTTCAGTGGCAATGATGAGCCTTGGTTCCATTTTGTCTGATTCAAATACTGCTCTAATTTTATTTCTTTTCTTTTTTTTTTTTAGTAGTGAAATTGTTCTATGATTGCCTTGTACACACAGGTGTTTTTGCTGTGGCCTTTAAGCAATCATTTTCTTACTGATTTGTATTCTCTTTTTGGGTTTTTTTTTTTTTATAGAATGCTGTGTTTCAAATTTTATCAAATTTAAGAATTGTGCAGTGTCCTGAAGAAATCCATTTTTGCCTGGAAGTCATAAAGACATTCTTATACTCCAAATACTTTTTTAATTGATGTAAATATTTTGTTTTTCCATTCATCTATCGGTACGTACTTGGGTTTATGATGAGAGCATCTCTTTGAATTTTCATAGGCATTTTAGACTCAGCCTGTCCCTTTCCATAAAACAGACTGGGATTTTGATTATACTCAATTTAGAGGCCAGTTTGCGGATAATATACGTTTTCGAATCTTCTAACACGATGTCGCTCTCCATTTTTTAATTTCCCTCAGGAATGGTTTGTATTTTTTAGTGTAGAAGACTTGTGCATTTTTACATTTATCCCTAGGTATTTGATGTTTTTGGATGCTATTGTAAACGGTGTAGATTTTTAAAGATTTTATTTATCTATTTTTAGAGAGAGGGAAAGAGGGAGAAAAGCAAGTGGTTCCCTCCTGTGCTTGCCCCGCCCCCGCGCCCCGAAACGCAAACCCGCAACCCAGGCACGTGCTGGGACCTGGAATCTAACCCCTGGCTGTTCGCTTTCTGAGATGGCGCCCACCCAAGTACCAGGCAGGGCGGTACAGATTTTTTAAAATTTCATCTTCCAACTGTTCATTGCTAGCATATAGAAAAACACTGATTTTTGTATAGTAACCTTTTATAGTGTGGTAACCCCACACTTCCTTACCATTCTTTGATCTTTTCTGTACATTCCTTAGGATTCTGTAGACAATTTTATTATCTGTGAAACAGTTCAATTTCCCATCCAGTCTTTCTATATCCATGAAAGGGATATTGCTCTATAATTTTATTTTCTTGGAATGTCTTTGTCTTAATATCAGGGCTATGCTGCCTTCATAAAAAATGAATTGGGAAGTGTTCTATTTTCTGAGAGGTAACATTGTCATTATTTCTTCCTTAGATGTTTAGACCAGTGATTTTCAACTTTTTCATCTCAGGGCACACATAAACTAATTACTAAAATTGTGTGGCACGCCAAAATATTTTTTCCTGATCTGACCAAAAATAGGTATAATTTTGATTCATTCACGCCAGACAGCTAATGTTGTATCAGCTGCTGTCATTTTTTAATTTGACATAAGGGAAAGGAGGTCAGTGCCCCTGACTGAATAGTCAGGTATTACATGTTCTAAAAATTCTTGGGGCACACCGGTTGAAAATCACTGGTTTACACTCATTTTAGCTTTATGATGAAAATTATAATATATAGAATATAACTATATTACATATAATTATTATTATACCTTAATAATTTTTTCTTACCACAGAAAACTATTAACTGTATTGTAAATATCTTCCCAGGACTTAGCATGCCTTCCTTTCATATAGTGCAAATTAATTTTTTCCCTTTCCTTGTCTGTTTCCTAAGATCAAGACATTCTCTTCTGTACTTTCTTCTAAAATTCTTTAAAGTTTACTTTTAAGATGTGGTTCAGCTCTACAGTCCCCCTGGAAATGATTATGTCAGATATGGGGTAGGTGGTTAAGATTCTTTTCTTTTTTTCTGTGCTGATATACAGTTGACACAATACCATTATTGAAAAGCCCATCTTTCTCCTGCTGCCCTGCATGTCTCTATGTTTGTGGGTGGGTTCCTGGACTTTATCTCTTTGTTATTTATTTATTCATCTTTCCTGGCACCAGTAAGCAACATTGTCTCAATTACTGTAGTTTCAGGATAAGTGTTGACATGTAGGTTTGCTGGTCCTCAAGATGGAAATAGCTGTATTTTCACCTCTGCATTCCCATATAAATTTTGGACTTGCCAATTCCATTACACATCCTTCTAGGATTTTGATGATCATTTGCAGTGAAACTACAGACCAGTTTGGGGAGAACAAACATCTTCTTTCAGTCCATGAATACATTACCCTGTTTAGATCTTTCAACATTTGTAGCTTTCAATGTTTCTTATGAATCTTTCATTAGACTTATTTCTTGGTATGTTTTGGTTTGCAGTTGCAAATGGTACTGTTTTAATTTCACTTTCTTTTGTGTTGTGAAATAGACACGCACACATGACTTTTATATATTCACCCATATCCTATAACCTTGACTACATGTCACATTTATAAATTATTTTGGGTTTTTAGGTACACAAATGCCACTTCTGAGTTTTGTTTCTTCTAGATTTTTAAACTGTTTCTTGGGCCTCTGGTACTGAGTACTGAAGAGAAGTGAAGCAGGCCCATGTATACATACCCCTCTCCTTACCTGGGGGGCACAGCTTTCAGTATTTCACCTGCAAGAGTGATGGGTTTTTGGCAGATCCTCGCATCCAGGAAGTTCCTGGTCTTTCAGGAATGGCTTTGTTGCCATTGCGCCCCATCCTGAGTGCAGACCAGGCTCCGCTAACAAGCTCCTCTAAGGCATCAGGCTCTTTCTTGGGTCCGTCTTTTGTCTCCCATGTCATCAAAATAGGAACTTGGTTGTTCTTAAGATTTTTTATTTCATTTTTTTAGTCTTTAAGACCTTATTTTCTTGTCAGTTCATGGATTTAGATTTTCTCTCCAGTAGTGTTTCTAATTTTTCAAGATAATTTGCCACATTGCCAGAAATCTTGTACATAGTATTAGATTGATGTTCTTTTTAAAGCCAATTTGACAAGCTTCCTTTCAAGTATTGAGGTCGGAAATGATTTCTACTGTTTGAATGTACTTCTGCTCTTTTATGATGTTGATCCTGCTTTTTCTATGCTCTCCCCTTCCCTTCCTTATCTTTTGTTTGATCTTTCTGGAAGTTACACCTTTATTATGGTATCCTTTCTACTTGAACTTGGCTCATCTGCACCATCCTCCCTAAACACTTCCTTAGAGCATTTTTAACTCTGACATTGCCTCACATCTTACATGTATTTTTTAACAGATTCTCACCAGCGAATATGTTTACTGATCCTAGAATGAAAGGGAGAGGGAGAGAAACATCAATTGGTTGCCTTCCATATGCGCCCCGACCAGGGATCAAACCCACCACCTTTCGGTGTACAGGAAGACACGCCGACAACAGAGCTACACAGCCAGGGCAGATCTTACATGTATTTTGTCTACTATTTTAGTTCCACTCTTTCTCAATATTTAGGTATCTTGCTATTGATTAATAATTCCACATGATCAGAGAACATACTCCGTGTAATTCTGAGACCTGTTTTTGGCCCAGCATATGGCCTGTGATGGAGAACAGATAGTGTGTTGTTGCTGCTGATGCAGTTTTATAAAATGCCCACCAGATTGAGGTGGGTGATGTAGTTGTTCAGGTCTCCTGTGTTCACTTACTTTGCAGGTTCTATCAGTTGCGGAGAAAGTGGTGTTAAAATTTCCATCTCTGAGAGTGGATTTCTCTCTTCCTTGAATTGTAAAATTTTGCTTCATAAACAGACACACACGATTATGGGTGGTAAATCTTTTTTCCTCTCTTCACTTTCATGTTAGGTCAGTCTTTATATTTAAAGTGCATTAGTTTCACATTTTCATCTGTGTTTCTAATCCCTGCCTTTTAATTGGTTACTCTATTGATATTTTACGTAATTAATGCAGTTGCATTGAAGTCTACCACTGCATGGTTTCTCTGTCCTGTTATTTCTTCTTCCCTTTATTTCCTGATTTCTTTTGGATTAATGTAAAAAATTTTTTAAAGATTTTATTTTTAGAGGAGAGGGAGAGAAACGTCTATCAGTTGCCTTTTGTACACCCACAACTGGGGACCTGGCTCACAATCCAGGCATGAGCCCTGACTGGGAATTAAACCGACGACCTTTTGATTTGCAGGTTGGTGCTCAAACCACTGAGCCATACTTGCCAGGGCAAATGTAAAAATATTTTTGATTGAATTTATTGGGGTGGCATTAGTTAATAAAATTATTTGGGTTTCAAGTGTCCAGTTTTATAGTACATCACCTGTACATGCATTGTGTATTTACCACCAAAGTCGAATCTTCATCACCATATATTTGACCCCCGTTACAACTACTCCCCCGGCCTTTCCCTCTGGCAACCAACATACTGTTGTATCTATGAGTTTTTGTTGTTTGTTCATTTATTTTCAGTTTTGACTTTTTGTCTTATTTAATGTAATATTTTTTTTAAAGTTTTTTTAATTTTCTATAATACT